CCTACCCTGGTATGGCCTCATTAACATAACAAAAGAAAACCCTTATTTCCAAAGAAGATCACAGGCATGGGGGCCAGGACTTTAATAGATATTTTGATAGGACACAATCCAATCCATAACAATAGCTATGAATATTTTATGCATGCATTTCCCCTAAAATTTAGGATTATTTCTTAGAATAGATTCCCAAAGTATAGAAATCACAGAACTATAAAAAGAGAGACCTACAGAGACCTTCATCCCTTCCAGCTCCTAAACAAGTGTTAATGAGATTCAGCATGATGTAAAAGAAGTATAAAACAGCTGCCGATGGTGAGGAGCTGAACAAGACAGACGCTTAAAATAACCAGCTAGAGTCTAGTTCTGGTCTAAATCATTGTTGCTGGGTACCTTTGGGTCGGTTCCATCTCATAGCCCTCCCACGTGACAGAGTAGAAGTGCCCCATAGGGTTTCCTAGGCTGTAATCTTTATGGGAGCAGATCGCCAACTCTTTCTCTTGTGGAGCCGCTGGTGGATTTGAACCGCCAACCTTTCAGTTAGCAGCTGAGTGCTTAACTGTTGCACCACCAGGGCTCCTTAGTCTAGATTAGACAATTTCATATGAGGTCACAGTGGGGTTGTTGTTGGAGCGCAGACTTGAATTTGAGACATGGAGCCTTAGGGTGCTCATCTGAAAAATGGAAGGAGCGTTAACACTGACTCCTGTAGACGGGAGAAACGAGGCAGTTTCCGGCCTCCCTGAGAACAGAGAGGAGGACAGCAAGCTGAAATATTTGGGGGGCCGGAAGAAGTTAGAGCCTGATTCCTCCCAGCTTGATGACATGGAACACACAAAAGAAACAAAGGGGGGAGTGTACTTTTGATTTTTAAAAAACTACATTTATCTGGATTGAGGCAATTAAACCATTTTTTAGCAATGTTAGCATATTTGATGATGTTTGTAACTTGATGATTTGTGGCCAACTCATACTAGCCTTCGGCAGAGGTGACGTTGGAGAGTCAGTTGGAAGCACCACACTGGAGGGCTGACACCACTAAAACCTGGTCCAGTCGTAATTTAGCGCTGCCATGCAAGATGGCCGCCACATCGCATTTGTTCTCTTCTCTCTCTTGACAAAATGGTGAGCCCAAAGGCTAACATATGGAAGTATTTCCATGTTGCGAGTGATTGAGGGAAAAAACATGGTTTGCAAATATTGTCAAGTGAAACATGTGTTTCTGTCCTACTAAGGTGGCCAAATGCATCGTTCTCCATAAGAATGTTCTGCAGATGTGAAAAACGCCTTCTTGACGTCATCACAGCGAGTAGGGCAATAAAGATCTGGCTATCTTTGTGCCTCAGGAACATCCCTGATTGTGTCCAGTACATGTTCTCAGGCTGCCCAAGCCACAAGTTGCCAGGGGCAGGCGTCTGTCAGGCAAACTGACAGACGGAGGTCAGGAAAAGACCCATCAAACCATTAAAAGGAAAAGATGTCAGTCACTGAGTATTCCTAACAACAGGAAGTCTTAAAATTACTCGGAATGTGCTCTTGGTCTTGAAGCCTCGTTTAGGCTCTCAAACCTCCTTGGATGTGGAAGCCCAGTCGTCCTGGCCCCATTTGTCGAGAACACTGTTCTTTTCCACTGAATTGTCCCCTGCTGATTCTTGCATAAGTAGCTGGACAGCCATTCTTCTGGAAACATTCCCGTGGGGTACACCGATTGTGTCCTTTGAAAGGGGGCTACTGCTGTTTGAGAAATAATCACAGTTAAATGACAGAACCCAGTAGTGTAAGAAAATGATACGCGTTCGTTCATTGAACAAACATTTCTTGTTTGATGGGGGAATCTTCTGGGCTTAGAAGCAAAGCCCCCAGGAATAGGGAGACTTTGGTGTAGCAGATAAGTTTTACTCCACATTGTACCGTCTGTACCTGGCGTGGCGTAAGAGGACGTGATGACCGATGGCATTGTGTCTGTTCTTGCACAGGGATAGTTTGGACATTCGGTCCAAGAGTGCAGGCTGCCATTTTGCTGGGTGTTGTTCTGAGGTGACACGTGGTCTTTGGCGTCTTTTGTTCCTCTGCTGCTTCAGAGTCCTCCAAACAAACAAAAAAAATCCAAACCCGTTGCCGTCGAGTCGATTCCAACTCATAGCGACCCTACGGGACAGAGCAGAACTGCCCCATATGGTTTCCAAGGAGCGGATGGTGGATTCGAACTGCCGACCTTTTGGTTAGCAGGTGAGCTATTAACCTCTGCGCCACCAGGTCTCAGAGTCCTCCGTCTTCCTCTAAATGTGAGAAAATGGGCGTATTTTTTAAAGTACTCCACACCAAAAAACAAAACTCTTACGCGAAGGGGCTAGAGGAACCAACTTTAATTCTTCTTCGACCTTTTTGTTTGAAGATGGTGAACGTGAAGCATCAAGAGAGGCAAACGTTGGCACTGGCTCAGGAATGAGCTGCCCTGTGCGGCCGTTGTTTGTTGAGTCAGAAGCGGATTGCCAGGCCTTACTTCCTAGGTGCTTCTGGGTGGGTTTGAAGTGTCAACTTTTGGGTTAGTGTTGGTAGGTGCTGTCAAGTGGATTTTCAACTCGTAGTGATCCATGTGACAGATTAGAACTGCCCCCTAGCATTTCCTAGGCAGTAATCTTTACAGAAGCAGATCACCAGGTCTTTCTCCCCGGGAGCGGCTGCTGGGTTTGCACCGCTGACTTTTCAGTTAGCAGCCGAGCGCTTAACCGTTGTGCCACCAGGGCTCCTTCTCCTCTTTCCTAGGGCGGTGGAAAACACTGTATCTGTTTTAAAATCTTGGTTATGGTTAGAGGCATTCGTTTTTTAATTAATGATTTGACATTTAGTACTTGAAGCCCCTTAAAAAAAAGAAAAAAAGTTTTTTTGTTTCAGAAACCTAAGCTTTAGTGGGAGCCCTGGTGGCGCAGTGGTTAAGAGGTCAGATGCTAACCAAAAGGTCGGCAGTTTGAATCCCCCAGCTGCTCGTTGGAAACCCTGTGGGGCAGTTCTACCCCTGTAGGGTTGCTATGAGTCGAAAGGACTTGACGGCAGAGGGTTTGGTTTTTTTTTTTTTTTTTTAAGCGTTAGTGGCATTGATCGTGGAGCCAAGCAAAACAAAATGCCACTAGTTTCTGTGAAGGTTTAAGAGTTAAGTTTAATGAGGGGTGTCACTTTCTTTAACAGTTATCAAAAAACCCATTGCTGTCAAGTCGATTCTGACTCATAGCAACCCTATAGGACAGAGGAGAACTGCCCCGCAGGGTTTCCAAGCATCGGCTGGTGGATTCAAACTGCCGACCTTTTGGTTAGCAGCCGAACGCTTAACCATTGTGCCACCAGGTCTCCTTAACAGTTATACGTTTTCCTAAAAATTTTTGATGACTTTAGCTAAAAAACGTAATGACAAGAGGCTGGCGTGGCTCTGCAAATGTGTGGCTCTCGGAACTCTGCCCCATCCCCCTCCTGGATCAGGGTCCTGCCCTGCCCCCCTGCCACCTATCCCGGGGGACTCTGTGCGGATGGATACTTTGGGGTGGGGCCTGGATCTGCTGCCCTGTGATGGTCACGGCGTGTCTGTCCCCCAGGCGACCTGGAGCCCCGCCCGGTGCTGACGGGATGACATTGTGCAGGACCACTGAGGGCAGCCACAGCTGGACCACGAGCAAGCTCTGCGCATCAACCCCCAAGTAAGGGCACCCCCGCGATTCTTGCCTGCTCCCTTTCTCTACCACTGTCCTGCATCCTACTTCCAAGAACCCCACTTCCGAGAACGGGGAGTGCCATTTCTCGGGTCATTTTAGTGAGCCCCTGAAGTCACCGCCTTATGCTGTGGTGAACTCCGGCCGAGTGGTCTAGGAAAGAAAGGCCTGAGCAGTGCCTAGGTTACGAGAGGGTGGCCCGGGGGCCTCAGGCCATGTCCCCAGCTGTGCGTTCCAGCTCAGGGTTGATTTTTCCAAGTATTGGGATGCATGGGTACGTTAGTGATCTCTGCACCCCAAACGTTTGCAGCTCTGCTTGCCCACAGCCAGCTCACCCCTGGATCAGCATAGTGGTATTTCACCCCATACAGAGCCCTCCCCTGATGCCCTCACACTCTGCACAGCAGTCAGCCATCACAAGCTGCCCACGGCTCCGGCTCCGCGCCGCAGATCCGGGCCCCTGCTGGGACGAGGGATGCTGGAAACAGGTGCATGAGGCCCTTTTAGCAATGCGTGGACACTTCCACAGTTTCCTTGCCTCTTGCTCAAGCTTTGTAAATCCAGTGTGGTCTTCCAGCAAGCCATCCATTTTTCCCTCTTCCGCTGGACAGCAGAAGCTGGGAAACCTTAGACTGTACAATCTTTTGCCTCTGAAATGACTGCTGTTTTCATCAGGAAAAAAAAGCAAATAATATTGATAGTCCCCCCACCCCCTTTACTGTCTACCCACAACAGGCTGGGCGCCTGATAGAGGCTGACTCACGAAATGCTCACAGCAACACTCTGAGATACGTGTTAATTAGTATACAGAGGAGGAAACTGAGGCTCAGGGGAGTTAAGCAACTTGCCCAAGGTCACACAGCTGGTCAAAAGTTGAACTGGGACTTAAACCCAGGTCTGTTGGACTCCGGAACCCAACCTCCTTTCATTCCACCATGCTGTGTCCCCAGGAAAAACATAGTGACATTTTAAAGTTGTAGTTTCAGTGCTTACAATTTGCAGCTAGCATATGACATTTATATGTAAAGTTCTAGCAAACCTCCAGGACCAGCCAAGAAGGATAACCACATATGCTTCTCCCCTCTCCGCTGTTTGTCTTTCTCGTTCAGGGTCAAGGCGGAAGGTCCAAGGGCTGAGGAAGGCCCCCGAAGGCAGCCGCTGAGAGTGGGAGCACTTCCCTGGGAGCCCCGAGGCCCCCTGTTCCTTCCCTGGAGACTGGGCAGGAGGCGCCGCTCAGAAGGAGCCCACGGGAAAGCCCCGGCAGCCTGCCGCCAGAGCCGAGGGTGGACTGCCTGAGCAGACATGCTCAGCCCAGCAGTGGTCCTCAATGGCCCAGCCCCCGAGCTCCAGGCCGGGGACGCCAGCAGGGCTGAGGAGAGGCAGCTCCACGGCACCCTGAACCCCCGCCCCACTGCCAGAGGCTGGGTCAGGCATGGTTCCCTCAGCATCAAGGACAAGATATCGGAGTGGGAGGGGAAAACGGAGCCGCCCGCCCCTGCCCCGGGCAGGAAAGCAGATGGACACGAGGCTGACGTGGCGTCCTGTGTGCCAGAGACGAGAAGCAGTGATGGTGTGAGGACGGGGGTCCCTGAGGCCGAGACGGGCAGCCGGCCAGAGGCAGAGAACACAGAGGAGGCAGGGAGCGAAGGGCCAGTGAGAGTCGGGGGGCAGGAGGCAGCCCGGAGGCCAGGCGTCACCTGGCCGGGCACGCAGCGCCCCCTGAAGGACAGCCTCTCTGTGCTGACGCAGGTCAGGAGGCTGGAGCAGGCCTTGAAGGATGGCTCTGCGGGGTTGGACCGCCAGCTTCCCGGGACCTGCTACTCCCCGCATTGCCCGCCCGACAAGGCCAATGAGGGGCCCAGCCTTCCAGAGGGCCGTGTGGGCGGTTGTGAACCCAGGCGCGGGCTCCTGGACCTGGGGGCCCAAGAGCCCACCCCCGAGCCTGCCGGAGAAAGGAAGGGCTCGAGTGCAAGACCCTGGGACCAGAGCCTGGAGGGCGTGCACGGAGAGAACGAGGGGTCCCCTGTGAGGCCCTTCATCAACCCCCTGCCAAAGCCGCGGAGAACGTTCCAACATGAGGAAGAAGGGGACAGGGCTCGGCGGCCAAGTGTCAGAGTCTGGAGAGAAAAGAGGAGCCTGCCTCCCCTGCCCTCAAATCCGCCCCCGCCCCTGCCCTCCTCGCCACCCCCGCCCGCCGTGAACAGAAGACTCTGGAACAAGAGGGAGAGGGCCAGTGCCGACCACAGGTAGGTGACGGGCTGGCAGTGCGCCGCCATGTGACTGCCTCTTTCATTGAACTGGTGGATCTTAAAGATGGTGGGGCCTGCCCACAGCCTGAAAACGTGGTGACTGAACTCAGAACGTGACAACGGATGCATGCGTTTTTGTGCTTGTGCTCAGTCCCCCAAAAAGAGTATTTGCTTTTAAAAAGTAGCCTTTGGATGTGATAAAATCAAAAATACTAAACCAGTTGACATCGAGTCGACTCTGATTCATGGCGACCCCATGTGTGTCAGAGTGAAACTATGCTCGATAGGGTTTTCAGTGGCTGATTTTTCGGAAGTGATTTACCAGGCCTTTTTTCCAAGGGACCTCTGGGCGGACTTGACCTCCAACCTTCTGGTTAGCAGCTGAGTGCTTAACTGTTTATACCACCTGGGGACTGAGTACTTGTAATTCAGACAGTTAATCAAGAGTTAACTTGTGTTAACATTGGCAGGCTATGAATTGTTGCTAATGGACATGCATCCTGCTATTAATACCCCCACTATGGCGTGAAGGAGCCCTGGTGGCGCCATGGTTAAGCACTTGGCTGCTAACCAAAAGGTCGGCAGTTCAAACCCACCAGCCGCTCCATGGGAGAAAGATGTGGCAGTCTGCTTCTGTAAAAATTTACAGCCTTGGAGACCCTATGGGGCAGTTCTATTCTGTCCTATAGGGTCATTATGAGTTGGAACCAACTCCACGGCAGTGGGTTTGGTTTTCTGGTTTATTGCATGGTGCCTTGGATCTTTCTGGGTCCTTACTCATGCTTTTTCTCTGGATGGGCTCTAGAAGCACGCTGCCTGGGTTCAACCCCTGGCCTTGCCACTCTCTATGGATGTGACCTCGAACAAGTTTCTTGGCCTCTAGAAGTCTGTTTCCTCATTTGTACACTCACCACCAAGAATATTTTATAATATTCTGATAAAGCATGCCAGTTTATCAAATAAAACCTCTGCTTTGGAAACAGGTTTTTTTTTATGCTTTGAATTTAATTTCTAGTCCATTTCTGTAATGTGCTAATCGGTTTGATACCCTCTAATCTAGCAACCAGCTTTAGAGCAAAACTCTGGAACAGTTGTCTATGCTTACCGCCACGACTTCCTTACCTTCTGTGTTTCGTTGGCCCGCGCCACTCAAGCCTTTGCCATTCGTCCTGAAGCTGCTCTTGCCTAAGGCCACCAGCCGTCTCCATCTTGCTAAACCAATTGCCAACTCTGTGTTCTTCTCTTCCTTCACCTTGCTCTCCTTTTTTTTGCGTTTGTAGTTTATAGTTTATAATTTATTTTTGTTGTTGTTGAGGATATACATGGCAGAACGTACATCAACAATTTCTGCATGTACAATTCAGTGACACTGATTACATTCTTCAAGTGGTACAGCCATTCTCACCCTCCTTTCCTGAGTTATTCCTCCCGCATTCACGTGAACTCACTGCCCCCTAAGCTTCCTATCTAATCTCCTGGTGTTTAAGGAGCAACTGTTGCCTGCTCCGTCCGTGGCACTCCCTCCTCTTGACTTCTAGAATACTCCCTTTCCGGCGGCCCTGCCTCACTGGCTGCTCCTGCCCATTTCTGTCTCGTCCACAGTCAGAATGACCCCGGCACCCCACCCAGTTCAGGCCGAGGCATCTTCTCTCCTCCATCTGCCCTCCCTCCTGCAATGATCTCCAGCCTGTGGCTTTATGTGTCATTCACTGCTTATGGTTCCCAAGTTTCCATCTCCAGCCCTGAGTCCCCCTGCAGCTTTAGGCTGGTGCGGCCATCTGCTGAGGTCTCCATTTGGTTCCCTAGTCATTTGGTCTTAACATGTCCAAACCTGAATTCCCAATCTGGGCCACCACCGACCGTCTCCTCCCCAAATGCTCACATTTTATTCAGCGGCGTTGCCTTTCATTTAGTTGCTTCCGATGAAAACCTAGGAGTTGCCTCAGATGCCTCTCTTTTTCACGTTGTTGTTGTTAGGAGCCATGGAGTCGGTTCTGACCCATAGTGACCCTGTGGACAACAGAACAAAACACTGCCCGGTCCGGCGCCGCCCTCACAATCGTTGTTATGCTGGAGCCCATTGTTGCAGCCACTGTGTCAGTCCACCTAGTTAAGGGTCTTTCTCTTTTTCACTGACTCTCTACTTTACCACCCATGACGTCCTTCTCCAGGGACTGGTCCCTCTTAATAACATGTCCAAAATAAGCAAGGCGAAGTCTTTTTCACATACCCAACCTTGTTCATCAGCAAGCCCTTCAGTTCTAGTTGTTTTCATTTTATTTTACTATGGAAAAAAAAAAAAAAAATATATATATATATATATATATATAAAACAAAATTTGCCATTTAGCCACTTTTAAGTGTGCTCTTCATTAATTCACTAATCATACGCACCATGTGGGGTAACCATCACACTATTTCCACGACGATTTCATTCCCAAACAGAAACTGTGTCCCAGTGAGCAGTGACTCCCCATTCCCCGCACGCCCACCCCCACAGTCCCTGGTAGCCACTTTATCTTTTTGTCTCTATGAATTTGCCTATTCTGGATATTCCATCTAAGTGGGCTCCTGCAGCGTTGGTCCCTTTGTGAAAAACTTATTCCACGTAGCGCCCTGTTTTACAGGTTCATGTATGCTGTAGCATGTATCAGGACGTCATTCCTTTTCTGTGGCTGAATAATATCGCATTGTGCATCTGGACCACCTTTTGTTTATCCGTTCATCTGCTGATGGACACTTCTGTCATTTCCACCTTTTGGCTATTGTGAATAGTGCCGCTGTGAACATTGGTGTGCAAGTACCTGTTTGAGTCGGTTCTGGCTTTAAAAACCGTGTCCTGAATCTGACTGTGTCTCCTCTGCTGCTACCACCTGAGTCGTCCTGGACACCCCAGTATATTCCTCCTTCAGCAGCCAGAGGCGTCTTCTGAGAATATAAATCAGAGCATGTCACTTTCCACTCAATATGGTCTGTCAGGTAGGATTCTTGTGGCTGCAAATAACAGAAAACTCTCAAAACAAGCTTTTTTTCCTTTCAATAAGGAAGCTTAGTGTCTGGTGTAACTGGGAGCCCGGGGCAGGTCAGCGGCAGCGCTGCATTGCTGGGTTTTGTTGCTGGGTCCCCAGTGCTTGCTGACTCTTCTTTTTACACCGTTTGGAAATTCCTTAACAGCTCGTAAGGTGGCTGCTGGTGGGGGTTGGAACCACAGGCTTCTTGGTTCTGTGTTAGAGAATGATAAAATAAAACTATCTCTCTTGCCACCTAAGCTTCCTTCAACTCACACTTCTTCCCCTCACAAGGAATTCTTGTTAACAATTTCCTATATTCTCTTCCAGGAAAAAAACAGTTTACATATTCTCTCTCTCGATATATGTGTATGTATATATGTCTAATATCTTTTTTAAAATGAGATCATGCTATACATACTGTTTTTCACTTAGTATGTCCTTGGGATTTTGCAGTGTGAGCACATTCCTTTTTTAGCTGCCACATTCTTTTCATCGTATGGGTAAACCATATTTTATTTAGCCATTCCCTACGGTTGGACACTTAGGTTGTTTCCAGTTTTCAAATAATATTGTGATGGGAGAGAGGGCTCTAGAGCAAAGTACTTACTTGCTCTGCTACTTACTAGCTGTGTGATGTTGGACAAGCCACTGTTTGTCCTGGCATCATTTCATTTACCTGTAAAATGGTAATAGTAACAAAATAACCACTCCATAGGGTTGTTGTGAGCATGAAATGAGTTAATACATATAAACATAAACTTAGAACCTTGCCTGGCATATAGTAAATGCTCAGTAAATGCTAAAGGTTGTCTTAGGCTGGGTTCTGTAGAGCAGCAAAACCAGTAAAGCATATATATATTTATACAGACGAGAGAAAGATAGATTTATATGAAGGACATGGCTCATGCAATTGTAGAGGCTGGGAAGTCCCAAGTCCGTGGGTCAGGCATCAGGCTGGAGGCTTCTCCTGACTGAAGTAGCTACAGGAGCTGAGGAATCCAAGATCAGCAGGTCAGACAGCAGGCTGCTGGCTCAGGTCCCAAGAACCGGAGGTCAGATGATGACAAGCTGAATGCAGGATCCAGAGCAGAGCAAAAGCCAGCGAGCTTTACCAGAAAGCCCATATATATTGGATGCAGGCCACACCCCCAAGGAAACTCCCTTTCAACTGATTGGCTACTCATAGCAGATCTCATCATGGAGAGGATTACATTATATTAGATCTCATCATGGAGGTGATTACAGCATTATGTAATTGCCACACTACGTCCTAACTGCCACACCACTGAGAATCATGGCCCAGCGAAGTTGACATGCAACCTTAACCATCACAGTGGTTATTATTACTTTTATTTTGGCTCTATTCTGTTTCATTAGTTAGGCTGCCTATTTCTTTTCCATTATCCGTTTAGATTATTTTAACCTCATAATATGTTTTAATATGTAGTAAAGCTTACAGAAATTTCTTATTGTTGCTGATAACCAATCCGTTGATTTCTCTTGGACTTCATGTATATACTGCTGTGTCATCTGCAAAAAACAAACAAAAAAAAAAGATTATTTTGTCTCCTTTGTATTGGTTATGAATCTCTTATCTATGTTTTCATTCTTTTTCAAAATTTTCTTGACTATTCTTCCATGTGTATTTTTACATGTTCTGTATATCACTGTATCAAATTTACACACACAAAAAAATTTAATTGGGATTCTATGCATTTAAGTTTACTCTGAAGTATTTTATCTTTTTGTTGCAATTGTTAATGTAATCTTTTTTCTCATTTATATGCTCTTTATATAGGAAAGCTGTTTATTTTTGTGTATTTTTTTTTCTAGTGTTACCTTAAGGAAATTTCTTACTGTTTCTAGCAGTCCATCAGTTGATTCTTTTGGATTTCCTATGTATATAATCATTCTGTCTACAAAGAATTATCATTTTACCTCTTTCTTCTTAATTTATACCTCCTATTTCTTTCTCTTAGAGCCCTA